AGCCCCTTTTTTATTTTATTGTTTTGTGTTTCCTTCTTGCTTTCTCTCTTTTTTTTTTTTTGAGACAAAGTCTCACTTTGTAGTTGAGGCTGGCCTTGGACTCAGTATGTACCCCAGGCTGGCCTCAAACTCGTGCCTATCCTGCCTCAGCTTCCCCAATGCTGGGATTACAGGCGTGCACCACCACCCTGGGCTTCCCTTTTGATTTTAAGATAGAGTCTTGCTAAGTTACCAATTGCCCAGGCTGAACTTGCATTTTTGGATCCTCCTGCTTTGGGCTTCTAGAGTGCTGAAATTGTAGGTGTGTGTTACCATGCTCAGCTTTCCTCGGCAGCTTTCAAAGTATCTTTTAAAATATATATTAATAAAAAGTTCCAACCAGGAACTGAATCTTCAGGCAAAATAACATTCTTTAGTTACATATAGTGTTGTTTTCTTGTTAAGTTTGGTGGTGGCTGCATGTGTTTTTTAATTGTTACTAGTACCTGTGCGTACATGTTTACGTTCCTTGTGTTACTACACATACCTAATGCTCTTGCTTCCTTTTTCATTCCCTTCCCTTCCCTCTGTCTTTTGATTCCCTGAACTGGCTTATAGCTTAAGAAAATTAATAGTTTCTTGAATGATGTTCAGTTACCAGTTAACTTGTGAAAATGAAATCATACTTTGAAGAAACTGTGACAGGCACAGGAGCTAGCAGTAGGTGTTTTCTTTTTGCTGTGATCACGGAAGCTGTTGTACAGAAGAAGTGAGAAAATCTCATGGAAATTTGTTTTTGTGTTTTGTTTTGTTTTCTTTTTTGGTGTCTTTCCTTGAAAACCATTATCCCCAGAAATCTCTACACTTGGTTGCTTTCAACAGCTGGTGCAAAAACTTACATTTAGGCTTTTTGTTTGGTGAGGGTCTAATGATAATAGATTATCTTTATTTTTAGCATCTGAAGCTACCCGGAGATGTACTGTATAATGTTAATGGGAATATTGTACATGGTCATGAAAATTCATTAAGCTATGGAATTATTTGAGTCTTTTAAAAAATCAAAAAGGAAAATTTTTGGGGGGGCACCAGGGATCAAACTCCAGTCCTTGAGCTTGCAAGGCAGGCGGCGGCACCACTGAGCTAAATCCCTGGCCCACAAAAAGGAAACTTAAACACAATCCCCAGAATTAAGAAAATCTTAAATGCTCTTCACAATTGAAGTAATAGTGAAACAGAGGCTGAAATATGTGTACCAGCTGCTCTCAGAGTGATGCTTACTGGGAAGTTGGGGTGAGCCTGGCTGCTTTGGGTTGTGTGGTGAGCGGGGCTCTTGAATCTTCCCTGAGAGACTTGCTGGGAGCCCTAAGAACGGGGCAGTATGGGCAAGACTGTTCAGGACAAGGACAGTTCCCCTATACAAGGCTAACTGCTGTAGTCGGAGGGTAATACACCCTCAAGGAGGATGAGCACTGGTCACAGATGGAGACACAGGTCAGGGGTGGGTTTTTCTGTTTTTGTCTTAGGATTTGGGCAGTGGCTAGGATTTGGTAACTCTGTGGCTGGCTGGCTGGCTGGCTGGCTGGCTTGCTTCCTTCCTTCTCAGGAGGGGGAGTTTATGGGCCTGGTTAGAACCAGCATAGCCAGAATCCCTCAGGGGGTTCAAAAGCTACACTGCAAATACATGCGGATGGGGCCTAACTGGTCCCCTGTGGCTGCCCCAAGGTGTGACTGGGTGGGAAGAGCAGTTGTGAGATGGATGGGAGGGGGAATTTTCAGTAGGGCCTGATGTGCTCTTCTCAGAGGTGTGGGAACCACAAACTCAAGAAATCTAGTCTTTCTTAGAGCTTTTTCTGAGGGTGCTGTTGTCAGTTTCCCAGATATATTTGTCATTTCTGGCTGGCTACGTACTCTGTCATAATATACTAGTTTAATTGGGGAAAAATGCCTAAAATTGAACTTTCTAACTGCCTGTTTTCTTACAAACAGTTAATTTACACTTGGTCTTAGCCAAAAGGCTGAGAAGTTATTGCAAATAGTTAATTTGAGTCAGATGAAGATGGACCATCAAGGGGGTATCGAAGAAACAGTCTGGGTCCTGTCATCTGCAGCGGTTTCCATTATTCCTGAGCAGCACCTGGGCTGGGACACTGAGAAGCTTCACGGAGTGATTGGGCCGCTGAGTTGGGCACTCACTGCACTGGCCTGGCCGAGCTGCACAGCTGAGTGCGCGTTGGAATCACCAGGGAGACACCAGGGTTTTGTCAACACCATTGTGAAAATCCTGATCTAACTTTTCTGGACGAGGACCGGATTTTTTCCCTTAGTTTACCGGGTGATTTTACTGTGTAGGCAGAGTGGAGAGCTACCTGAGAGGACGATGTTATATTCTTTATACAAAGCTGCCATCAGTTGACTGTCAAGAGAAGCTGCTCCGTATGGACTTTTTCATGGACTTACCGCATGACCAGAAGATTAATGCCTTACTTGTGTTTGGAAATTTATGTGATCTTTGGCCAGTGCATTCATGTTATCTCTAGGAGTGACTCATAATCAGCTATGTCTGTCACCAGGTTTTTAGCAGCTACAGTTTTTAGTGTTTGCATATTGGAGTTAAGTGTTTAAGTATTTCTGAAATAGGCCTTATTGAGGTAAACTACCTGTAAATAAATGAAGTCGTTCTTAGAGTGCAGTGTTGAGGGATCACTCTTCAGGTGTCTAAATTATTTGAATTGATTTTGATCATTCCTAGAGTTGCAAAGGGAAGTTCTTGCTAGTTTGTAACTCCCTTCTCACTTTTTTTTTTTTTTTTTTTTTTTTTTTTTTTTTTTTTTTACATTTCTTTTTTTTTTTTTTTTTTTTTTTTTTTTTTTTTTGCAGTACCAGGGATTGAACTCAGGACCTTGTGTTTATGAGGCAGGTGTGGTGCTACTGAGCTAAATCCCCTGGCCCTGCTTCTCATTATTGATTTTCTGTTTTTAAGTGATCATCTTGTACTCACTTGAGAACATCGCAGCTTTCTCACAGCTCTTGAGGCTGTACTATTGCAGTGTTGGAAACTTTGAAGCTTGAGCAGTAAAGAAGTTTATGCTTGTTAAGTCTCTTCTTTTTACCAAGTAATTTTACAAATGAATTATTTTGTTACACTATTCCATCTTTCTGATACAGGCTGCCTGTCACTTTATAGCAGTCCTTGGATCATTAATACTAAGAATTTAGTGAGTTAATTGTTATGGGTGAAGTATGTTTGGGTTGCATAATCTCATGGGTGCCAATAAGAGATAGCCAAGATTGTTTACATTGGTTCCCATGGGAATACGGGGGGATGGGCAGCTAGGGACCCAAACAAGCCTTTAGCTGACCTTAGCAGTATGAAATAAGGATTTTTCAATGGAAGTTATATGATGAGGCACCTGCATTGGCCCAATTCAAAAATTTTTTTTGATAAAAGAGCCATAATGTCTTCATATTTTCATGTCTGTGGTTTAAAAATACTAAGAACCACTAAAAATAAGAAAAGTCCACGTGATTTTTTTCTTCTAGTACCCAGGAAACACTGATAGAGGGAGAGACCCTGAATTGAGGAGAAAATGTGTCCTTTGTGTTCATGTGTGTGTGTGTGTGTGCGTGCGCGCTGTGGAAGTCTCATAGGATCATAGTATACTGTAGGAAATTGCAGATTTCCTGACGTTAATATATTTATAAAAATTGTATTCTTAGCAGATTGAGGATGCCATTCTGAACTACCCAGAAAGGTTTCTTTACATTTTCTGATTCTGAAATTAAAATTGATTTTTAGAGTCATTGAAAATTAATTGCATTCTTTTTCTTATAGAATCTACCATCTGCTGTAGTAACTCATGTTCTGAATCCTCAACCTGGAGAAAAGATTCTAGATTTGTGTGCAGCACCGGGAGGTAAAACAACACATATTGCGGCACTAATGCATGATCAGGTGAGTGTGTCTTCCAAACAGAAGTACTGTCAACATATTACATATTTCAGTGGTGAAGGTGGGACTTTGTATCACTTGCAAAACATATTAATATCATAATCCTGTTTATTTCAGATTCAGTCAAGATGAGTACTATTGAATTATGTCAGTCACATGTCTTAAATTCAGTAGACAGTTGCTATTTATACCCAGACGTGGTGGCACACAGCCCTGTAATCTCAACACCTGGGAGGCTGAGGCAGGAGCATTCAAGGCCAGCCTGGGACACGAAGTGTGAGTTCAAGGCTAGATCAGACTACATAGCTGTAGGGAACAGGGAAGAGGATGTTACCAGTTCCTCTGCCATGGGTCCTGGCCTGTGAGCCACCACAGCACAAGGTGAATTAAAGGGTAAGAAATGAGACTTGTAGTGGAGAAGCTGAGTCTCAGGTCCTGGTCCGTGCTCCTGATGGCCACAAAGACACTGGCCCCCAAGCACATCTAGTATTTATTGAATATAGTTTGGGAAGGAATGGGGAGCAGGGTGTGTTTCGAAGGGATCTAGTGAAACACTGCCAACACCTGGCATGATGGCGCCAGGCAGAGCTGTTAGGGAGTAAGCACTGCTTATCTTACTAGGACAGAAGAAACCAGTACTGGGTCTGGGTGCAATTAGCAAGAAACCCTTTGGGTCACTGAGCAGCCATAATTCAGGGGAAAGGGTTTTAATTGAGGTCAAACTGACCTCAGCTGCATGGAACTCTGCAGAGCCCGGCCCACTCCACAGAGCAGATCGTAGGTCTCCATGGCAGCCCCTGGGGGAGGGGCTCTACTTGCTCAGTGCATCAGCTGATGTGCCCAGTTGAGTCACATAGGGCTTTGGTCTGACTCCTGATACAAAACAATATAGCTGAATTATGGACAGCAAGAAGCAGGTGCCACCGATAGCCCACTGGTATTGGACAGGGATGACTGCTACTCATCGCGATTGCCATTTATAAAGACTGTCCTAAGACCTTCCTTGTTTTGTTCTGTTTTGTTTTTTGAGACAGGACCTTACTATATAGTCCAGTCTGGCCTTGAGCTGTCTAGGTAGCCCAGGTCATCCATGCGCATATGAAAATAATATATACACATGCATGCAGGACACGTGTGTGTCTCAAGTTTCATATAAACCTTGTGATCTGGTTTAATTTTAAAGCCTGCTTTGATCACACAATTTAAGTGGGTCTGACTTTGGATAACTTTAGTTTTGATTTTACTGTGTTTTCCTATGCGTGTATGTTTGCCAAGTTGGTTTTCTGTTTTTATTATAGACTGGATTTGTGAGTGTTCAGAAGTCGTTGCAGGGTTGAGGGTGTGGCTCAGTGGTTGGTTGTTTGCCTAGCATGGGCTCGGCCCTGGGTTCCATCCCAGATGCACAGGCCAGGAGACTGTGAGTCGGAGTCTAGGGCAGAGGTCTCAGTCGGAGACACATTCGGAAATCATCAGTGTAGGCAAGCAGATGGAGAAGAGAGTAGAAGAGTTCTGAAGAGCCTCATGAGCGTTGAGTAGCAGCATTCAGAGGTAAGGGAAATAAGGAATGGGAAAATAGAAGCGTTTGATACACTGGAAGTCATGTGAGGAAGGGGTTTAAAAAGATGGTGAGGGCTCCTTGTCAAAAGTTGATGAGCCAAGTAAGAGACTGGAAACTCCCACTGGATTTAGCACATGTGGAAGGTCCTGGGGGACCTGGTCACGAGCACTTTTGATGAGTTTAGATGCACACTTGGATTGAGAATGAGAGGAATCGGAGTGAATGAAGACCACTGTCCTGGGGTAGGGTGTACAGGGAAATGGGCTCAGGAGGTATGTGTTTTAGGGTGAGAACTAACAGTGTCGTAGAGCTTTTTCAAAGGGGAGGGGGGTGAAGTTTTGGACGAAGGGCTTGGGAAGGGAGGAAAAGGCCATGGGAGAAGGAATTAAAATGTACTCTGTGCACGTACCAGCTCCACACTGGGAATGCAAACATTACATACTGCAGACATGTACAGAAAGGAACGAAGGGGTCAGGATGACTGCAGTGTGGGAGGCGGTAAGAGAGAGGGGATGATGAAGGAATAAGATGCGTTATGTATTTGTACCAGCTCCCCACAAAACTTGTAGCTGTTTTGCACTGCAAACAGTACAAATAAATAATAACGGTGCATTTCAACGAGAGCAGCGCGTTAAAGGAGAAATGTGACAGCACCCGGGACAGAGGGGAAGACTGCGGCAATGTCTTTGAGGAGGTGCGAGGGGCTGGGACTGGAAGCGCAAGTGGCTTTAGATGGCAGCACAAGTCAGTGCTCCACAGAAGTGAGAGGGAGGGCGGAGTACGCGGATGCAGACATTGGCGAGTTGTTGGCGAACTTCTCGGTTTCTCAGTGAAATGGGGAACAAGCTCAGCAGACGAGAATGGATGGAGGGAGGAGGTAGTCAGGGAGCGAGAATTGGGGAACTCATGCGGATTCTAGTTCCACTGAAGACCTCGTAAAGGTACCAGCGATGAG